ACTGAAAAATGACAATTTTAGTCCCGATTGTTAATTGGGACAGCCCAAATGAAAATTGGCCAGATCTAACCCTAATGTCTAGGCTAAATAAATTTATAATTTAGCCAGATGGTTATTTGGCTACACGACATATCGACCAAATTTTGCCACTCGAATGTTATCCTCTAGTAAGTGCACACCCTCTCTAAATGCACGCTCAAGTGCCAGCCCAAATACTGTATATACATGACCTCCATAAATGCACCTTTTCTTATTATTCTCTATATGCACGTTATTAAAGTGTGGTCCCAAGGCGTGCACTTAGAGAGTCTGACTGTATATTAAAGTTAACAATAGAACTAATAAAGTTCAATAGATCTTTGAATAAAGTTCGATATTAGATTGATTCAAAGCTCTATAGGTTTTGTTGGACTCTCCCTTTATATATACAGATTATGTATAAATAATAAATTAATTAAGTAATTCTATTCATGCTAATTACTAAATTTTGTCTTATACAAAATTTGTACTACAGTCAGACCTCTCTAAGTGCACCCTCTACAAGTGCACATCCTCTCTAAATGCACGTTCAAGGGCCAGTCCAAATACAGTCAGACCTCTCTAAGTGCACCCTCTACAAGTGCACATCCTCTCTGAATACACGCTCAAGTGCCAGCCCAAATATATACATGACTTCATAAATACACCTTTTCTTATTATTCTCTATATGCACGTTATTAAAATGTGGTCCCAAGGGCGTGCACTTAGAGAGGACTGACTGTATATACATAGCATCCATAAATGCACTTTTACTTATTATTCTCTATATGCACGTTATTAAAGTGTGGTTTCAAGGGGCGTGCACTTAGAGAGGTCTGACTGTATATACATGACCTTCATAAATGCACCTTTTCTTATTATTCTCTATATGCACGTTATTAAAGTGTGGTCCCAAGGGCGTGCACTTTAGAGAGGTCTGACTGTATATAATTTATAAATTGGTATAGTTTAGTGATGTTGAATAGGTAACTTGTTAGTAAGATGATTAGTAAAATACAGTAATATAGATTCATCTACTGTATGGGAACCCCACAGAAAAGGGAAACAATAGGTCAAAAAAAAATTTTTTTAAAATCAATTTCGTGAAAGAATTATAGCAATAAACATATAACGATAATTTTTATAAATTTACAAAATTGGTATTATTGACTCATTGCCTTCATTTGCTATGGCCCTATCATTATATAATACACAGTTTTCAAATCGCAGGTATATTGGCCAGATATTTTGATTGGTCAATTGTTTTATGATGCAAATAACCTAGGTCATGAAAAAACAAAAGATTTATATATCAATCTTGATAATAAGTTTCTAAAAAGTGCCTCTAAAATATAATCCCTTTTACAAAACAGCTCGGTGGGATATCACATCCCCCCGTGTGAACTTTGCTATGCGGCTAATATTCCCTGTCATTTTTAGCACACCGCATCTTGCAATTTTGTGATACCTCCCTTAATTTATGCGCGTGTATTGTCATCTATTAATACGTATATACGTATAACAATGTTTTGTTTGCGAATGCATATGTACAGTATGTGCACGTGTATAATAAAATATAATCTATATGCATATGAACAGTGGTCTTCTGCGTGCACGTGTATGATAATGTATGATCTACATCCACGTATATTACATAATGTATATCTAAATTGCAAATTAAGGATAAAAAAGCTACCAGAACAAACAAGCACACACATTCATAAAATCGGAGATGTGTGATAACAAATGATGGTAAAAATAAGGATTTTCGATGCAAAAATCGGTGGCTTGAGATAAATTTGTAAGCTTCTTTGACAGATATTTAATGATAATCACTGATTGTCAAAGACTTGAGCGAAAGTATTTGTTAATCAGCATAGCAGACAATCGAATGATTGGCTGTTGACTGTCGATCACCACGTGATTAGATCAACAGAAAAATCTAAGATGATTGGCCGTTGCTTATTTAATAAAATTTATTACCCGTTATATGTTAAAGAATTACTGAATTATTATGACATTTCTTGCCGCCTTTAATAATATTATTACGACATTTAGTTAGCGAAATTTAATTTTCATATTTGTCGTAATAATTGCTAAATTTTTTTTAACTCTATCAAATACAAAAATACATTATATAATCAGGAAAATCTTATAAGAAATGTAATAAGAAATGTAGCAATAACGAAATATTTGCCAAAAAATAATAATAAAAAAAAATGTTTAGAAAAAAAGTTTAGATACACATCTATATTTATTGCAACCATATATATTTTGCTTTGTTGATATATTAAAAATACATTAAATATAATTAGGCTTTTAAAAATTTATCCAAAGCTATATTACAAGCCTCTTCGACCCTATTTAATACGCTTCCATTCTTTTTCAACTGTGTAAGGATATCATCTTCTGAAGACAAATTTTTTGCATCAGTATCTTTTGTCTTCTTTTGACCTTTAGATTCTTGATCACCTTCTACAAGATCCTTGACATCCTGTTTTGTTAGTTGTGTGATTAAAGAAGAAATGTTTAGTTGAACACCTTGTTCAAGAAAAATTTGACAATAAAAACATTTTTGAAAAAACATATTAAGACAATGTTCATGATATCTGTGGCCGTATGCAAGTACGATAGGGTTCTGAATTGAAATATTTAAAAGCATGCCGCAATAGTCACATTTATCTCTTGATGGTATACGATTACTACTAAACCCTAATGGCATTTGTTTCTTGTTTGCCACGATGTTCAAACTTGCAAGACGAAATCGATATTCTCCTTTGGCCGTCTGGATGCTTTTGCTTTTTCTAAGATTCCTATAAACCTTTTCAAATGTTTGAAGTAGAAAAACTTTAGTCTTAGTTGTAAGTGGTAATAGACGATCTTTATTAGAATTGACATCATTTTGTTTAGTAACAAAAATTTCCTTAAAGATTTCCATAGCCTTTCTCACATTGGCTATTTTTGCCTTCTTCGAAAGTTATGTAGCCGAATCCGGAGAAGATTGTCTTCGAATAATACTATGCATATTTTTGACATGATAATCTGAAAATTTAACTAAGTGTTCGATTAGTACATTTAGTATTGGATGATTATTTTTCATCCAATAAAATATATCTGAAAGAAATATTAATGGCATTTTGTTATAGTTGTGCCTATCAAATTGCAAAAAAAGAACCCACGCCCGGAAAATACCCTCCAAGTATGACTCCCATTTGCCTGACCGAAAGAAGACCAAGTAAATATCCATTCCTAACAGGATAGTGTTGTCCAGCAAGTCAAAAAGGAACAAGTATTCCAAATCTTTACAGCACTTTCCAAACTTATTAACTACAGTTGGCTTGATATCTTTCCATACATTTCTTGCCAAGTTTATAAGAAGAAATGCACGATATGGACTCGGAGTTTGTGAAAGATCCCTAGAAGCACAAAACAAATATTTGTACTCCATATTGAAAAAACTTCAAAAATTTGTTAGTATAGTACTGACCAAGTTAAGTTGCATGTGTAATGCACCAATTACTGGTATAAAGGACAATGCTATATCTAATATTTAAACAATTAATGGATTGGATTTAGGCTTCTGTACTATTGGTAGTACATTTTATAAAATATGTACAGAACTCAAAACATAATAAATTTATATAATTTTAACATAAATTAATCACTA